GTGCTAAATAAATAGTCCCTGGTGTGGGGGAGGGTGGCTTTTTGCTTTCTAAAAAAGTTTTTTTCCTTTATCCAGGGGACTATCCCCAGGCCATGAAGCATTATACAGAAGCCATCAAACGGAATCCAAAAGATGCCAAATTGTACAGCAATCGCGCTGCCTGTTACACCAAACTCCTGGAGTTTCAGCTGGCGCTCAAGGTGGGCAGGTCTGGGAATGTGGAGCAGGCACTATGGCAATGACCTGTACGTGAGGAATGCGGTTTTTTTTTTTTCCTATTTTCATCAACATTTGCTTGATGGTTTTACTTTGATCTTAGAGTCAAGGTGGTGGTGTGTGTATGTGAGTTTTGTAAAATGCAAGCCTGACGTCTGCTCCGTCCTGGCTTGTGGAGTTATATTAGTGATTGGGAGTATTTGGAAAAGTGGATCTTGGGGGCGCCTAGGTGGCTCAGTCTGGTTAAGCGTCTGACTTCGGGCTCAGGTCATGATCCCAGCATGGGGGGATCGAGTCCCGAGTTGGTTCCCTGCTCAGTGTGGAGTCTGCTTTTTCCTCTGCCCTCCCCTTCCCCCACTTGTGCACTCAGGCACGCGCTTTCTCTCTCAAATCTTTAAAAGAAAGAAAAGTGGGGGCACCTGGGTGGCTCAGGTGGTTAAGCGTCTGCCTTCGGCTCAGGTCATGATCCCAGCGTCCTGGGATTGAGCCCCGCATCAGGCTCCCTGCTTGGTGGGGAGCCTGCTTCTCTCTCTCTAACATTCTCTCTGCGTGTGCTCTCTCGCCCTGTTAAATAAGTAAATAAAAGGAAAGAAAGAAAAGTGGATCCTTTTCCACCTTTCCTGATGATAGATTCCTTTTCTTTGTTGTTCTTGTTCTCCCCTTCCCCTTTTTTATTCTAACCTTCTGAGCGTCCAGGTCAGTGGTCTCCAGTGCATTCATACTGTGTGCAACCCTCACCACCATCCACCTTCGGAACCTTTTCATCTTCCCAAACTGAAACTGCACCCTTTAAACACTGACTCCCTGTTCCCTCTCCCCCGGCCCCTCACGGCCGCCGTTCTGCTCTGTCTCTGTGAATGTGGCCCCTCTAGGGACCTTCTGTAAGTGGAACTGGCCAGCGTGTGTACTTTCGTGTCAGGCTCATTTCACTGAGCACCATGTCGTCTTCCTTTTGAAGGCTGAGTGCTGTTCCGTTACACGGACACGCCATGGTCCGCCTGTCCCCCTCCTCCATTCTCCGTCCGCAGCACTGGTGGTTCCCCCCTTGCGGCTGCTGGGGTCCTGTGTCCGTGGTGGGGGGCATGTGGCCTCTGTTGGGGGCCCCCAACTTCAGTTCTTCTGGGAGAAGTGCTGTGTCACTGAGTAGTTCAAGGTTTAATTTTTTAATTATTTTTATTCATATATTTTTTGGGGGAACCACGGTATTGTTTTCCACAGCGGCTTTACCATCTGCCCTCACTTTTTGATTAGGTCAGTTAGCAGGTGTGCTGTTCTCGGTCACATTGGGCATGGTCAGGTGTAGTTCTGTCGACACCATGAAGGGAGTTAGTCCCCACTGCTCTCTCGAACGCAAACTGTCTGGTGCTTCTATTGGCGATTTTTAAACCATTCTCTAGATGACTATCCGTGCTGATCAGTAGATGACTTTTAAAATGTTGTCCAAGGGGCGCCTGGATGGCTCAGTCATTAAGCGTCTGCCTTCGGCTCAGGTCATGATCCCAGGGTCCTGGGATCGAGCCCCACATCTCGGGCTCCCTGAGCGGCAGGAAGCCTGCTTCTCCCTCTCCCTCTGCCCCTGCTTGTGTTCCCTCTCTCGCTGTCTATCTCTGTCAAATAAGTAAATAAAAATCTTTAAAAAAAATTAATAAATACAATGTCCAGTCTGGACCACCTCTTTAAAAAAATTTTTTTTTATTTATATGTGTGAGGGGTGCCTGGGTGGCTCCGATGGTTAAGTGTCTGCCTTTGGCTAAGGTCATGATCTCCAGGTCTTGGGATTGAGCCCCATGGTCGGGCTCCCAGCTCAGCAGGGAGTCTGCTGCTTCCTCTCCCTCTGCCGAGATCTTCCCCTGTTTGTGCTCTCTCTCTCTCTTTCTCTCCCTCTCTCTCCCTCTCCCTCTCAAATGAATAAATAAAATCTTTTTTTAAAAGATTTTATTTATATATTTGAGAGGAGGGGAGAGAGAGAACGAGTGTGGGGAGGGGCAGAGGGAGAAGCAGACTCCCTACGGAGCAGGAAGCTATATGTGCCCGAGACCAGGACGCCAGAATTGTGACCTGAGCCGACGTCAGACGTTTAACTAACTGAGCCACCCAGGCGCCCCAAGTCTGGACCACCTTATGGGAAGGTGACAATGTGACCCATGCAGAGACCCCAGTACCTGAGTCCATGCTAGTTTTTGTTGTTGATGCCACTATCTTCTGGGCCCTTGTCTGGCTTAGGGGGACATCAAAGCCAGGTCATTTCGCCTAGTGGTCACCTGTGAGGGAGAGTGGTACTTCCCCAGCTAGGAACCGAACCATTTCTGGGCTAGCTTTTTGCCGGAATAGTTGGAAGTAGGTCTGGGTGTGAAATGATAGTGTATGGCATTTTTTTCCCCAGAATTTTCCATTTCATAGGCACTTCAAACAAAAACACCCGAACGCCTGTGTGTCCTCCACCTTTTTGAGCAATGAGCATGGACGTGTTTTTGCCGAACCATTTGTGAAAGGAAGTGGGATATGTTTGGCACTCCACGTCTGAGCTCCTGAGTGCACTTTTCTTGAAGTGTCATTAGCTCCTGGCAATAGAGGGACAAAGAGCGTAAGGCCGGGTGATGTGGGGCTCTTCAGATTTCCCCACTTAACTGAAACTGTGTGGTAAAGCCGTCAGGATCGAGGCCCGTGCATTTCATCTGGTTTGCGTGCATGTCCTCTTCCATTTCTCAAGCTAGAAGTTTCCCCACCTTTTGCGGATTTTTCCATAATCTCAGCTCTTTGAAGAGTCCGGGCCACTTGTCTTCTGTGGGGTGGTCCGTAGTCTGGGTTTGTCGACCCTCATGGTTTCACTTGACTTGCGCTTCTCCCTCCTCTGCTAGGCCTTCTGTGAAAGGGCCCGGGTGCCTGGATTAACAGCAGCTCGGGATGCAAGACAAGGACACTGTCGTGGGTCTGGGTGAAGTGTTCACTTATTCCAAATGATCAGTCTGTCTTCAAGCCTCACTTCTCTCCTCTCTCCTTTCTAGGACTGTGAGGAATGTATCCAGCTAGAGCCCACCTTCAGTAAGTGCTTTTCTGCCACTCCTCCCCCGTCCCTCGACACTGGCGCAGAGATGGAGAGTGGGAGAGGACGTGCTTGCCCCCCCCATTGTCTCGGGGCTGGTGGCCGTTAGGACCTAGCATCCGCGGGCGAGACAGATGTTGGGGTTCCCATGGGAAGGTGGAAGTGGCATCCTGCAGAGCTGTGTTCTGATGATGCCTCACCTTTCTCTGCAGTCAAGGGCTACACCCGGAAAGCGGCCGCCTTGGAGGCGATGAAGGACTACACGAAAGCCATGGACATCTACCAGAAGGCCTTAGATCTGGACTCCAACTGTAAGGTGGGGCTGCTCTTGGCCGCCAGGGGGCTCTCCCCTGCCTCCATTTCTCCTTTGGGTCTTCTCGGTGTTGGTTTGCTGCTGCTTGCCTCTTGCCTGTTTCTCCGTCTGTCTGTCTCCCCCCTTCTCAGTTCCCTTTGTTACTTTGGCCCTGCTGAAGCAGCGAACTGGTCAGTGCTCATGCGCCCCTTTCTGGCTTTGCTGGGAGGCAGGAGGCGGCGGACGGTTACCAGCGCTGTATGATGGCCCAGTATAACCGCCACGACAGCCCCGAAGACGTGAAGCGACGGGCCATGGCCGACCCTGAGGTGCAGCAGATAATGAGTGACCCGGCCATGCGGCTCATCCTGGAGCAGATGCAGAAGGACCCCCAGGCGCTCAGCGAGTAAGTGGAGTTGGGGGAGACGGAAGAGGGGAAGGTGAGCTGCGAAGTGGCCCAAGCTCTGGGGGGGTTACTGTGTATGGCTTGCTTACAGCTGAAAAGGCGGGCCGCAGCTGGTGAGCTGGAAGGGCTTCGTGGCTGTGTTTGCCCCGATCGCTTGAGCGGTCTGTTGGAAAGACCAGTTTTGCAGGGAGAGCGGCTTCGGCTTCAAGCTGTGTCCGCGGTTCGTGCGGGGCGGGGCGGTGCTGCCCGCGGGCCAAGGCCTCCGCGGAGCCGTCTTAGCCAGGACTCCTGCTTGGCCGCCTCCTTGTTGGGCCTTCCGCAGGGTTTGCATTGGGGTTGCTCCGAGAGCAAATAAGACCTTTTTAGGTTAAGTCTCGTGTCTCATAACTTTGCTTTTTGTTCATTAGACACTTAAAGAATCCTGTAATAGCACAGAAGATCCAGAAGCTGATGGATGTGGGTCTGATTGCAATTCGGTGATGACTTGCTCATCATCCCCTTCCCTTTGCCCTCATGTGGAAAGAGGAGCTGGGACCGCAGCTAGCAGCGCGGAGCAGAGGGGAGAGCAGGGGAAAGTGAACAACTTCTCTCTATATATTTATATAGACCTATGTGGAAGATACAGAGACTCGTATTACGTTACTCGCACCGCCGCTGCCTCTGGGCCCTCCCAGCACACGCATGGTCTCTTCCGCTGTCCTCGGGTTCCCTGTTCCCTTCCCCGCCCTCAGTCGCCGTCTCAGCTGCTCTCCCATAGTTGGTTATTTTTTATTTGGGGCAGTGGGCATGTGTGGGGAGGGGAGGCTCTTCTCCCCCAACCTCCGGGCCAGCTGTCTTCACATTGTTAACTCCACGTGCCCTTCTCCAATAAAACAAGCCAGTCGGGCGTGGTTATACATTGTTACGTCCTTGTGATTTTTTTTGCCAAGTGACCCTGAAGTGGTTGCCCCATAGGGGTTACAACCTGGAGTGTGCGAGAGGTGGAAGTGTCAGCTGGGCACCGGAACCTCTTCCTTTCCAAGGGGACGGATCAGTGGCACCTCAGCATGCTTCGGTCACTAGGTGGCACTGTTGCCCAACAAGCCGCTGAAAGGGAGCCTGGGGCCTTCCGACCCTAACTCCAGAGGTTCAGGTCAACATTCTGGCGCTTCCCACATCGTTCATCACGCTCTCATCTCAGAACCAGAAACCAGCTAAATGGAGGGAACACTGGGTCCCACCCAAGAACAAAAACGTTTCCTATTGGTAGTGTTCAGATCTCTTGGGAGACCATCTCTGTCAGCTGCTCTATGATGGTTTTAGTCTTTAAAGAACTCGCTGCTCTCAAGGCACCTGGGAGAATCGGTTGGTTGGTCATCCGACTCTCGGTTTTGGCTCAGGTCACGGTCTCAGGGTTGTGGGATTGAGCTTCTTGTCAGGCTCCATGCTCATCGGGGAATCCGGGTTTTTTCTCTCTGCGCATGCATGTTACCTCTCAAATCTTAAAAAAAAAAAACAACCACTCACTTCTCACACTTGGCTCTTTGCTCAGAGGAGGTTCCTCTGCACCTTCAAATCCGGGTTCATCCCACACCAGCTGCCTCCACTGAGCCGCCTAAAGTTCAACCCCAGCATCAAAGTCCTGTACCCGAGGTGCTCGGTGGGGGTACTGTGTCTGCCCTGGCCCCCCTTCAGTTGGCCCCACTGTCACCAGAAAAGGTCGGTGATGACATTGCCAAGGCAGCCAGTGATTGGAAGGGCCTGAGAATGACAAACTTGAGGACAGGCCCAGATCCAGGCGGGACCTGTTGCTGCTGTCCCGATAAGCAGAGTCTCAAGGAACCCCCAAGAGACGGAAGCAGAAAAACATTAAGCCCAGTCCAAATTACCACTTTTGATTTATCAACATTGCCTGACAGATACAGCCCCAGTCTCGAGCTAGAGAGTTCTCTGGAACCATTAAAGAGGTCCTGGAGACTGCCCAGTCCGTGGGCTGTGGTGCAGCAGGGTGCCCAGCTGGTTGAGAACTACCAAGGAACATCCTTCAATAAAGGATCATTTGACAACCCAAAAAACCCCTCACAGCTCAACTGAAAGCTTTCTAATTACACTTGGACATGGTTGCAGCAAGCTATTTCTAAAACCCTGGACTGGGGTGGGAGTAAAACTTCCTCTTTTGCTCCAACAGCGCAGCTTTCTGAGCTAGGAAGCTGCTGAGGCCAGCAACTGGCTGTACTTCCTGCTGCCTTGACTTTGCATAAGCTGGCTTTCCCGGGGGTATCTTCCACCGGCCCCTTCCTCTATCTGGGCAGCAAGGTCAGAAATCCTCATCTCCACGGGCCATTCTGCTGCTCTTGGGTGCAACTGACACTCTTCGGGCTCTATTCCCTCCGGCCCCAAACGATTCTCTCTGGGAAGCCTCGATTCCTGCCGGGAGCCAGCAGGGAGCATCAGGCCTCTGCTCTACCAAAGCTGACCTCCCAGTGCAGGCGATGGGACCCTCCAGGGTCACATTTGAGTGGGGATTTGACGGGCGTGACCCTTGGGTTACTCGGGGTGAGCCAGAATGTCACACAGAGGGACAGAGGGGAGGCGGCAGGTTGGAAGCCTTAAGCCCTGGAGGCGTGGGGCCAGGAGGTTGTGAATGACCAGGGGCCAGTTCTGGTTCAGCTGTTGCCTCGGGCGGCTCGAAGGTTTACGTGTTTGGAAATAGAGGCCCTAAGGAAACACTTAAGGAAGCTGTTTGCCTCGGGGTCTTCTTCAAGGATCTACTTGTTGGTGATAAGGGACCTCCCGGGCTGGAGCTCCCTTGAACTTCCAGCTTCCTAAATCACCTGGATCCAATCCTTTCAGCTGCACGGCTCTTCCTCCCGACAGCACAGTGACGTGCCATGGCCCAAAGCCCCCCGCACCCCCCAACTCTGTGACAGGCTGGAGATGGGAGGTGACTTCCTCCTGGGGACTCTGGGTGCAGAGAACATGAGTTGGTGACTTCCCTAGTTCGAACTGAGCTGCTTCCCTCCAGACGAGGGGACGCTCCGTGTGGTGGTGGGACCCCGGCCGGCTCCTCCCTTGCTTCCTGTGCTCCCCGGGAACAAAGGTGGGGCCACAAACGGGAGCCCTGGGCAGCCTGCTGGCTGTTCGCTTCCTGCACCCAGCGTGGGCCCTCCCTGGGGAGGGGCTGAGCCCGCCCTGCTCATGATAAGGCGCAAGGGCTGCCCTCCGAAGAAAGCTCCAAAGAGAAAGCAAAGGGGGAAGGAAGCACTCACTGAGCTGCAGGTGTTTAGACTGAGGCCAGGAGTGGCTGACACTCCAACCCCTCCGCACTGCAGCCCCCAAACCCTTACAGGCAAGGTAAGCTGGGGCGGCGGCTGAAGGCCCAACCACCTTGTCCTCACCCTCCTGCAGCCCCTCTGCCCTGCATGCCTCTCTCCGTGCGGCACCCTGGACTTCTCACGGCCCTAGAGAGGCCTTGGCTGGCTTGGGATGTCTGGATCCGGGCTTTGGGCCAGGAGAGGGAGTATTTTCTGATTTGGGTCCCCCACCATTTCCAGGGTGGGCAGCTGCCAGTGTGGGTTTGGGGGTGAAATGTGGGCTGGGGAGGCAGATGGAGGTTGTGCCAGGCTCTGGCATCAAGCTGGGTGATCTTGAGTGAGCCCATTTCTCACTCTTTCTGGGCCTCGGTCTTCCTGTCTGTAAGATGGGAGTGGGTTGGACAGCCCCGTGCAGCTAGACCACCGGAAATGGTGAGAGGGCCTGAGGTTTGCCTGGACCAGCTCAGCGCCCGTGTCTCGCCGCTGCCGTGACATCCTGGCCCACCGGCATGCTCTCTGCTCCCCTGCCTGTCCAGGTCACCACAGGGCCACTTCTACTTGAACGTGGGCAGCCTACAGGGCCCCGGCCCCCTGCCCGCCGTGCCTCCTTCCCAGCCTCCGGAGAGCCGCCACAGCCATGGCGGGGATGAAGACGGCCACCGGCGACTACATCGACTCGTCCTGGGAGCTGCGGGTGTTCGTGGGAGAGGAGGACCCGGAGGCCGAGTCTGTCACCCTCCGGGTCACGGGGGAGTCGCACATCGGCGGGGTGCTCCTGAAGGTCGTGGAGGAGATTAGTGAGTGTCCCACTGCCCGCGCTGCTGACCTCAGCACCACGGGGCGGCTGTAACTGGGTCCGCGGGCACTTCCCGGCCGCCCAATGGGCCGCACTCGATAACCCCGCCACAGTGACTCAGGCACCCGCTTAATCATTTGGTTCCAAAACAGACATTTCCCCAACTTCCCCTCCCTCCCGCAATCTTCCCCCTCTTCCTCCCACTCCAGCTGGTTCTGCTGAGTCCCCAAGGAGTCTGTTCACCCACTTCTGGGGGCAGGAGGGGCCTGGCCCGGGCCAAGGCAGAGGCTATATTCGAGGTCTTGGGGGAGAGCAGGGGACCTGGGGGCTGGCTGCCATACCGTGTCCCCGGGCCGGAAGCCCTCCACAGGCTGGTGACGGGCCTAGCCTGGGTAGGAAGGCCCTGCCCCCACAGGAAGTTACAGCAGAACAGCCTGTGGCGTCAGGCGTGGAGAGGAGCAGGGCTAGTGACATGGGGGCTTCCCATCCCCTTTCCCTGCCGGGGGTCGGGGCTGCCTCTTCCTGGGAGGGTGGCAGGCGCACCCCGATAGGCAGAGCCAGGGGGCCCCTGGGTCCTGGGCCATCTGCAGGCTTCCTCAGAGCCAGCCAACCCACCACGTGCAGCCTGGGAGGCAGGTTGGCTGGCTTGTGGACAGACGGGGCCCCGGGAGAGCCCGGCCACAGGCCTGAGGTAGTGAAGGAGCTTCCAACAGGCAGGGCCCGAGGAGGCTGTGAAAGCAGAAGTGGGAAACAGAGGGTCCCTCAGGAGACTGGGCGTCAGGCCAAGCTGCAGACAGGCCTGGGCTGAGCTAGAGCAGAGGGGGTGAAGAGATGGGGCCCCAAGGGAAGACCTGGTTGCCTCCAGGGCAGGGCACACGAGCCGTGCAAGAGGCCTAAATAAAGAGTCAGTCAGTTAGAGCTGATCCCCCAACCCGCTGCTGGGTCCCCCCAGGAGTAAGTCCCTTCAGCTCCTGTCCCCTGCAGTGGGGACACTGACCCTACCCTTCCTAATCCCGCTCATTCCTGAGTATATCAGATGTCGACTGAGGCTCCGTCAAGCCAGACCCCACGTTATACCAGTCCCTGCCTTCGTGGAGTATGGCCAGGCGGGTGAGGCGGACCCTCCACTCCCAGGACGGGGCTGAACACCAGCCTCAGCGCAGGGGGAGAGAGCACAGGGCCTGGAGCCAGAGGGGCTGCCCGCAGCCGGGATGGGGAGACTCCCTAGGAGAGTCCCGAGAGGGGCCACGGCATGCGGGGGGCAAGGTGTGATGTTGGCGCACGGGGGTGTTCTGAACTGGGGCCTCCAGGCCAGGGAGAACAAGAAAAGAGATTGGGGTTGCTGCCATTAGGAGTTGAGACTACTGGAGGTGGGAGCGGCCACCGAAGGGTTTTCAACCACTTACATCTAGACCGGCCCCTCGGGGAGGGGTGGGCTGGAGGCAGGGAGACAAGTCCTCCAATGGCGGGCAGTGAGGACAGACAAGAGGGTGGATTTTGGAGATGAGATTGGCATCGATGAAACGTGGTGGCTACACTTGGAAAGGATAGTGCTCAGGCCTGACGGGGAAGTCCTGTCACCCAGCCCCCAGATGCCCTGCAGAGGAGCCAGCAAGGAGGGAGAAGGGCCTCCGTCCAGGGTCAGGCAGAACGAGTTTCCCGTGTGCCTTGGGGGCTGGAAGTAGGAGTTACTGCATTTCTGTCCCAGAGGCAGGCACGTGGCCTGGTAAACATGTCTCTGGAGCTACTGAAGCCAGTGGGCATGTCCTTTTGCCCCTGGCATGTGGGTTTCTGGCCCGGGGCCCAGGGCAGGGCCTGGTCCTGAGGTATGGTGTGTTTGGGGATGGAAGCAGGAAGATGAGGCCGTGGACCAGGCAGGACCCCTGGGAAGAGGCCAGGGTGGCGGAGGAAGGGAATCGGAACCAGGGAACGACAGGAGCAGGCCAGGAGAAGGGGCCAAGGAGGACAAAACAGGAGCCAAATGTCAAGAGGAGATGGGGGGTGGGTGCCGCAAAGGCAGAACAGAGTGAGGGCAGCGGCTCCTAGGACTCTGAGAGGTTGGCCAGATTAAGCCAGAGAATCTCTTGCGTTTGGCACCTCCAGTGACGTTAGGGAGGGAGGAGGGGGGAGGGCAGCAAGAGACAGACCACTGGCGGGGAGGGGCTTTGCACACTCTCGAGAGTTGGTCCAGCCTTTGTCTTTGTGCTCACCATACACCAGCCCGCACTCCTGGACGGAGACGTGTCATCTGTCACTAGCTGCAGTACGAGAGCAGTGTTCGTGGTTCAGACTGAATCCTCACTCGTGGGCGTTAACCTTCCACAGACACTGGAACAGGCGAGGTTCCACGTCCACAGGGTTGGGATGATGACTGACATCTCACGAACTACAAAACCGAGGCCCTGAGAGCTGAAGGCCTTGGCCAAGGGCACAGAACGTGTAACCGAGAAACGTTTCTGGAGGGCCTGCTGTGACCGACACAGCCCCAGGGCCCCAGCAGAGCCTCGGCCTCCTGGGATCCCGGGAAAGCCGGGGAGAGGCCAGTTAGCCAGGAATTAGGGGTGGTGCTATCCGGGGCAGCCCATGGGCCAGGGTGCTTGAGGTGGAGACACTTGGATTCTGGGTGGGGGACTCCCCTGGGGAGAGATGCCGCGACTGAGCCCCGCAGAATGAGCCTTCCTGCCGTGACCTCGGTCCTTGACCCCGAGCCAACCCAGCCTGGCCCGCGCTGGCCTTGGCTGGTGCTCAGCACCAGGGGCTGGGCCCTCTGGGGCTGACGTGCCCCTGCTTCCCCGTGGCCCCACAGAGCGCAAGCAGGACTGGTCGGACCACGCCATTTGGTGGGAGCAGAAAAGACAATGGCTGCTGCAGACGCACTGGACGCTGGACAAGTATGGCATCCTGGCCGACGCCCGCCTCTTCTTCGGGCCCCAGCACCGGCCCATCATCCTGCGGCTGCCTAACCGCCGGGCCCTGCGCCTGCGAGCCAGCTTCTCCCAGCCCCTCTTCCAGGCCGTGGCCGCCATCTGCCGCCTCCTCAGTGAGTCCCCTGCGGGTCCCCGCTCTCCCAGCCCGGCCAGGGTCTCCCCACATTACTGGCCCAGCCATTGTCACATGGGCCTTGCAGTCCTGTCCCCGATCCGGACTGCAGGGCTGTGACCTGCCCCAGAGTACCTGGGAGGCGGGCGGGAAGGTTCTAGGGCAGGACCCCGGCCCCTGCTGAGGTCCCAGCTCCCCTCAGGTATCCGGCACCCTGAGGAGCTGTCTCTGCTCCGGGCTCCTGAGAAGAAGGAGAAGAAGAAGAAGGAGAAGGAGCCGGAAGAGGAGTTGTATGACTTGACCAAGGTCGTCCTGGCTGGGGGTGAGCACACGCTGGGCAGGCCAGGGGCTGGGCGCTGGCACTGGGCCCCCCAACCCCCCACCCGCGGCCAGGGCTGGGGGCTGGGCCTGTCTAATCCTGTCCCACACTCCAGGCGTGGCACCTGCATTGTTCCGGGGGATGCCAGCCCACTTCTCAGACAGCGCCCAGACCGAAGCCTGCTACCACATGCTGAGCCGGCCGCAGCCGCCGCCGGACCCCCTCTTGCTCCAGCGCCTGCCTCGGCCCAGTTCCCTGTTGGACAAGACCCAGCTCCACAGCAGGTGGTCTGCCTGCCTGCTCTGCAGCCTGGGGCCCTGTCCCCTTGGGTCTGGGCTCCCACTGCCAGGGCCCACGCCCTCCCCTGTACCCTTACCCCAAATCCATACCTCCTGTTTCCAGGCCTTTCTTAAATGTGTGCTTGCCCTTGATCAAGCACCCCCCCGCCCTGCCCAGCCCCCTGCCACGCCCCAGCACTGTACCTGCGTCAGCTCTGACCTCTGCCCATGCTATGGCCCAGGTGGCTGGACTCCTCGCGGTGCCTCATGCAGCAGGGGATCAAGGCCGGGGACATGCTCTGGCTGCGCTTTAAGTACTACAGCTTCTTCGACCTGGATCCCAAGGTGGGCTGGGACAGGGGACAGCAGGGGTCTGGGTCAGTGAGACATGGGGACTTAGGGTCAGGGGTGTGGGTCTGGGAACGTGAGAGACTAGCAGGGTGTCTGTCCATCTATCCATTGCCTCATCTACACTCCTGTTTCTTAACTCCACCACTGTCTGGGCAGTGTAGACAAGGGCAGGCGCCCCTAGGAAGCCTGCTCAGGTGGGAGATGCCTCCCACCTAGACTCAGAGAAGGTTTCCTAGAAGGGGTGACACTGGGATCTGCAGGTTTGGGGTGGGCGAGGGATGAGGTTTGCAGGCAGGGGCTGTGTGCATCTCTCCCTCCCTGCCTACCGTCCCTCCTGGCAATCAATCCATGGGCTCCATGCAGCCCTCTCAGAAACCATCAGACCCCACAGACGCTCCCTCGCCTGTGACCCTTTTCTCTCCCCCCTTTACTGCAAAACTTCTAAATGCCATTGTTTACCAAATCCTTGGAATCTAGTGTCCTTGCTCCCCAGAATCCTGCCCCCTGTTTCCAGGTCTTTCCTGTGGGTGCTCCCGGACTCCCTCTCTCTCCTCAGCCAGATTTATCCTGGCATCTTCTGTCCCCATCCACACACAGGAAGGACACCTGCTGAGGTGACCATGCCTGCATGCTCTCTGTCCCCTGCTCTCTTCCCTCCTGCTTCTTACTAGGCCACTTGTGACCCCCACAAGCTTGGGGGGGTCTCCAGATGCCTGGTCCAGGCTCCCCCCACTCTTCCTCCTGTCTCCACAGCCTCTGGGGGTTGGCAAACCCAGAAGGCCCTCCCCAGCCATCCTTATCCCCTTGCCCGTTATAGCTCCCAAGTATGTAATCTCTAGTGCAGACCTTCTCCCCTGAGCTCTAGACTCGAGTGTCCAGGTGGCCCGGCTCTGCTCACGCATCTAACAGGCATCTCAGACTCCTGCCTGAACCGGAAGTTGTGATCCCCAGCCTGCGCAGCACATCCTCCCACCTTTCCCGGATTCATTGCAAAAGCTTTCATGGATTCGTTGCTTACACCATTCTGGATCCTTCCCTTTCCTTCCTACCTCATCCATCTATCCATCTCTGTGCCCTGTTCATCCTCCCTTGAACTAAAATCCCAAACCACCCATTCTTCTCTGTCTTTTCATCTGTCCATCTGTCCGGGGGCCAGCCCATGTCATGTTGCTTAGCACATGCCTCCTAATGCCCCTCTCTCCCCTCTCCAAGGGCCTCTTGTGGCCTCTCCAAGCTCCACACCACGTCTGGAATGAACAGACACGAGGTCATGTCACTCCTGTGGCTGCCTGTGGCCCCAGCTGCCGAGCCCCCAGGCCCCTGCCTGATTGGGTCCCTGCCCATCTGTCCCCCCTCCCTCTCTTCCACCCTCGGCCCCTTCCTCTCCCGCGGACTTTATTGTCCCCATCCCCAGCTCTTCCTACCTTACTTTGGGTTGAGTGGTTTTCATGATTCCATTTTATCTCCTTTATATTAATTTATTAGCTATACTTAAAAAAAATGGTTTTGGTGGTTGCTTTAGGGGCTCTAGCACACGCACGCTATTACCACCCAGTAATACTCTAGCGCTTCTGCATGAGAAACTTCCAACAGGGCACTTGCGTTTCCCCCCTCGGCCTCTACATTCCTGTTATCACACACTTCAATTCTGCAAGTGTCAAAACCCTCAAGACACTGTCATTCTTGTTGCTGTCATTATTCTTACCACGGCTGTATTGAGAAATAATTCATATACCATATCATCTGCCCATTTAAATGGACAACCCAATGGTTTTTAGTACATTCACAGAGTTGGGCAACCATCAGCACAATCAGTTTTAAAACATTTTCATCACCCCCAAAAGAAAATCATACCCATCAACAGTCATTCCCCATTTATCCCTTACCCACAGAGCCCCAGACAACTCCTAATCTCCTTTCTGTCTCTATAGATTTGCCCATCCTGGACATTTCCTATAAATGTGATCATACAGTGTTTGGCTTTTTGTGTCTGGTTTCTTGCCCTTGGCATTGTGTTTTCCTATTTTAGCATGTTTCAGGGTTTCATTCCTTTTTACTGCAAAATAGGATATCATTGTAGGGATATACCACATTTTATTGATCCATTCAGCAATTAATAGACATTTGGTTTCCATCTCCCCACCCACGTGTTGGCTATTATGAATAAGGCTGCTATGAATACTCATGTACAAGTTTCTGAGTGGTCATATCTTTTCATTTCTCTTAGTGTAGACCTAGGAATAGAATTGTTGAATCATTATCGCTATTACTTTTACTTTAACCCGTCAATCATTTTTTTGGTGGAACTTTTTGTTTTGAAATAACTGGAGATTCCCAGGCAGTTGTAAGAAATAATTCACAGAAGGTGCCTGGCTGCCTCAGTAGGTAGAGCATGCGACTCTCACACTCAACATTTCCTGTGCTCTTTATTCCCGCGTATAGATCCACATTTCCAGCTGGTCTCATTTTCTGTCTGACCTGAAGGACTTCCTTTAACATTTCTTGTGGTGCTCATCTACTGGTGATGATTCTTTCAGCTTTTGTATGTCTGAATCAGTCATTATTTTACCTTTGATTTTGAAAGATGTTTTAACTCGGTGTAGAATTCTTGGGTGACGGTTTGTTTCTTATGGTACTTTATTTACTTATTTTTAAGATTTTATTTATTTATTTGAGAGAGCGTGTGTGCAAGAGAGAGAGTGCACAAGTCAGGGGAGAGTGGCAAAGGGTGAGGGAGAAGCAGACTCCCCACTGAGCAGGGAACCCAACGCATGGGGCTCGATCCCTGGACCCTGGGATCATGACCTGAGCCAAAGGCAGATGCTTAACCGACTGAGCCACCCAGGAGCCCCATCACTGGTTCTAAACAGTGTGATTATCATATGCCTTGGTTCTCTTCAGGTTTTTCATGCTTAGGGTTCAGTGAGCTTCTTGAATCTGTGAGTTGATAGTTTGCATCAAATTTGGAAAATTTGGGGTTGTTATTTTTTCAGGTTTTTTTTTCCCTCCCTCCCTTGATGGGATTCCAACTGCATTAACTATTAGACTGCTTAGCATCATCCCACAGCCCACTGATGCTCTGTTCGTTTCTTTTTTTAGGTCGTTTTTCCAGTCTTATTTTTCTGTGTTGCATATTGAGTAGGTCTCTTGCTCTGTCTTCAAGTTTACTAATCTTTCTTCTGCCGTGTCGAATCTGCCATGGATTTCATGCCTACAAGTTTAACTGTGACCTTTTTAATAGTTTCCATGGGTCTCCTTAAAATGCTCCTGTCTCTCTACCTGTTGAACACACATGATGTATTTGTAGTAACTCTTCATGTTTTTATCTACTAATTCTGTATCTAGTGATTCTTTTCTTGATTTGTTTCTATAGACACTCCCCTCGTTATGACTTGTATTTTTCTGCTTGTTTTCATGCCTGGTCATTTTTCCCCCTTTATTTTTGGGGGAGAGAGAGCATGAGCAGGGTGAGGGGCAGAAGGAGAAGCAGGCTTTCTGCTGAGCAGGGAGCCCAATGCAGGGCTCGATCCCGAGACTCCGAGATGATGACTTGAGCTGAAGGCAGATGCTTTTTTTTTTTTTTTAAGATTTTATTTATTTATTTGACAGAAAGACAGTGAGAGAGGGAACACAAGCAGGGGAGTAGGAGAGGGAGAAGCGGACTTCCCACTGAGCAGAGAGCCCAATGTGGGGCTCGATCCCAGGACCCTGGGATCATGGCCTGAGCCAAAGGCAGACGATTAAGGACTGATCCACCCAGGCACCCCCCCGAAGGCAGATGCTTAACCGACTGAGCCACCTAGGTGCCCCTTGTTGTTTTTTTCTTTTTGTACCTGATCATTTTTTATCTGATGCCAGACAGACACTACAAATTTTATATTCTTGGGTGCTAGATTTTTTTTCTATAGTCCTTTAAGTATTTTTAAACCTTGTTTAGGGATGAAGTTAAACTACTTGGAGACAGTTTGATCCTTCCAAGGCTTGCCTTGAATGTTAATTAGACAGGACAAAAGCATCCTCTAATATAGGGCTAATTTACCCCATTACTGAGGCAATTGCCTTCAGAGGACTCTATCTAATGTGCCATGCATCATGAGGCTTCTCTAATCTGGCTTTTGGGAGTGTGAACTATTTCCACCTTAAGTGAGCTCTGGTAAATGTTCCATCTGCTCCTTTCAAGTTTTGTTTTGTTTTTGTTTTTGTTTTTTATCAGCCTTGGGTAGTTTCCTTACACACATACACTGATCAGTGCTTAGCTAAAGACTCAAGAAGAGCCTTCTGCTGATCTCCAGAGCTTTCTCTCTGTGCAGCTCTCTCCTCTACAGGACTCTGTCCTGTGAATTCTAGCTGCCCTGGACTCACCAAATGCTCAACTACATTTCTTAACTTGGGGAATATGCTGGGTTCTATTTGGGGTCCCCTTCCCTGTGCAACTCTCTCTGGGCAACAAGCTGGGGCAATCAGGATTCACCATGTTTGTTTCCCTTCTGTCAGGGATCACTGTTCTGTGTGGTCTCTTGTCCAGTATCTAAAAACCACTGGGTCTTTGTTGCTCTCTTTGTTTTTTGTGTGTGTGTGTTTTTTTTAAAGATTTTATTTTTAAGTAATCTCTGCACCCAACATGGGGCTTGAACTTATAACCATGAGATCAAGAGTTGCATGTTCTACCAACTGAGCCAGCCAGTTGCCCCTGTTGTCTTTGTTTTCAAAATGAAAATTTAGGGGCGCCTGGATGGCTCAGTCATTAAGTGTCTGCCTTCAGCTTGGGTCATGATCCCGGGGTCCTGGGATTGAGCCCCACATCGGGCTCCCTGCTTTGTGGGAAGCCTCTTTTCCCTCTCCCACTCCCTCTGCTTGTGTTCCCTCTCTCGCTGTGTCTCTCTCTGTCAAATTAAAAAAAAAATGAAAATTTAAAAACAAAATTTTCTTTTTTAATATTCTTCTTTTAAGTTTTTATTTATTTATTTAAGTAATCTCTACACCCAACATGGGGCTCAAACTTATGACCCCAAGATCAAGAGTTGCATGCTCTTCTGACTGAGCCAGCCAGGCACCCCAAAATTTTCTTATAGTTCACAATTGCTAGATTTTATTTACTTATTTTTCTATTAATTGTGCACAATTAGAAGAGAGACCCCCAAAAGATACTCTTGTAAGATACTCTCTATGTGGCTATGGCTTCTTCTTTGGGGTCTTCACAGTGATGAAGTGGGAAGTTCCATAGCCAAGCCCCGCCAACATTGCAGCCCAACCACAAAACTCTTTTCAAACTGGTGGATTGCTTTAGGATATCAGTCAGTGTTATCTTTTTTGTGGAACCATAGAAGGTAGCACTCTAGACCCACTGTGCAACTGTTGTCCTTGGACTGCTATTCTCTATTTCCTGGGAATCCCTCTATTGGACTTCTTGGTTCCTGAATCTCATGTGTTCCTCTGTTGACTAACTCCTTCGTTTGGATAAAACATATAGTTCAATAGCTTCCCCTAAAATGGTAAGTGATTTGAAATCCTGCATGTCTGAAAAGGTCACTGTTCTACCCTCACTCAGATGATAGTTTGGCTAGGTATAGAATTCTAGGTTGGAAATATTTTCCTGCCAAATCTGAATCCACCTTCCCATTGTCCTCTGGATCCCAGTGGTTCTATTAAGGAGTCTAATGCCATTTTGTTTTCAATCTTTCCATGTGAGACCCTTTTATTTTTTCTTGGAGAGGGAGGGGAGATGTCAGAAGCTTTTAGAATCTTCTCCTTATCTCATGATGCTTTAAAATCTCTCAATACTATGTCCTAGTATGGATCTTTCTTCATTGATTGGCCTGCACACTTGCTGAGCCCTTTCAGATGAGGAACTTGAGTCTTTCAGTTTTGGAGAAATGTCCTAACCAATCTCTTTAATCATTTCCTCCCCATCACTTTTCTGTTCCTTTCTTCTGGAAGTAGATATTAGATCCCCTAGATTGCTTCTTCAAAGAAAAAACATAGACATTTATCTTGTTTTTCTCATGTCTTTTTTTTTTTTTTTTTAAGATTTTTTATTTTTAAGTAATCTCTACACCCAGTGTGGGGCTCAAACTCACAATTCCAAGATCAAATGTTGCACGCTCCACCGACTGAGCCAGCCAGGCACCCCTTGTCTTTCTCATTTCTAAGTTTGTTGTCTTTTTGTTTTACTTTCTGGACAGGGCTTTGACTTATCTTTCAAATGATCTATTGAATTTTTAATTTCTGCAACTGTATTTTTTTTTAAGTTCTAAGAGCTTTTATTTTCTGGTGTTCCTTTGTAAGTTTGTTTGTTGGTTTGTTAGTAGAACATACATTTAGAAAAATGTACAAATGTATCCAACACATCAAGCAGCAGGATTTCACCAGCCCCCAGAAGCCCCTTTCATACCCCTTCCAGTCAGTATCTCCCTTGGGGGAGGCAATAATGTTAATTCTAACACCACAGATAGTTTAGTCTGTGCTTGAAATCTACATAAATGAAATCACACAGTCTGTACTCTTCTGTGTCTGGCTTTTTTCACTCAGCATTATGCTTGTATGATTCATCCACAGTGCATACAGTTGTAGCTTATTCTTTCTCATTGGTGTGTGACATTCCATTATGTCAATATACCATAATTAATTTTCCATTCTACTGTTAATGGGCATTGCACAGTTTCCAGATTGGTACCATTATGAATAAAGATGCTATGAACATTCCAATAATGTCTTTTGGTGAACATATGTACACATTTCTGTAAGGTATGTGCCCAGAGGTGGAATTGCTGGATTACAGGGCAGCTTTGGTTTAACTGTAACAGGTAGCTGTCAAGCAGCTTTCCAAAGTGGTTGTACCAAAGTTACACCCCCATCAGCAGTGTCCAAAAATTTAGCTTGTTCCACAGCTTCACTGGTGCTTGGTGTTTCCTATCGTTTCCATGGTAGCCATTCTGGTAGGTGTGTAATGGTATCTCAGAGGGTTTTTTGTTTATTGCAGCCATCATTGCAATCAAGTTTTAGAACATTTCATCACCCCAGAAGGTTCTCTAGTGCCCATTTGCAATCGTTCCTCCTCCCACACATAACCCCAGACGATCACTGATACGCCTTTTATGTGGCTTTCAGATTTCTCTGATGACTAATCAGGTTGAGCCCTTTTTCATAGGGCTACTAGCCATTTGGATATCCTCTTTTGTGAAGTTTCTGCTCAACTTCTTTGCCAATTGTTAATACTGAGCTGCTTTCATATTGCTTTATAGGAGTTCTTTATATATTCTGTATATGGGTAGTACTTTGTCGGATAAATATATTGTGATTATAGTTTCCCACCCTGTGCTTTTCCTTTTCATTCTCTTAATGGTTTATTTTGATAAAAAGAAGTTCCTAATTTTTAATATAATCTGACTTCTATTTTTAAATATTTTTTCTTTTATGATGAATATCTTTTGTGTCCTGTTAAAAAAATCGTTTTTATTCCAAGATCACAAAGATGCAACTTTTCTCTAAAAGCTTTATTGTTTTAACTTTCATGTTTCGATCTGCAATCCAGCTGGTGTTGATATTTGTATGTGGTGTGAGGTAGGGGAACAAAACAATTTTAAAAAAATGCGGGTAACCAATAGACACAGTATCATTTATTGAAAACAGCAACCTTTCCCCAGTGACTGTGGGGTCACCTTTGTCATAAGTCAGGTGAATATTAAGTGTATGGGTCTCTCTCTGACTCTCTGGTTCCATTCATCAATTTGTCTCTCTTCACCAATGCCACACAACCCTAATTACTATACCTTTATAATTATGTTCTTTTTTTAACACAGCATCCCGTTCTTGTGTTATGGGTACAGCATTTTGTCTCCCTAAAGATTTTGTCTGGTTGAAGTTTTCTTCTGCTCCCTACTCTCTTGGTTTCCTCCAAGTTCTGTCTTTTCTGGTCTCTGTAGCTTCTGCCACAGCTGTCCTTACACTGGGGTAATCCTTGCCTGCCCTTTCATATTGAGAGGCAAGACTCTAGGAAGCCACTGAAAACCCTGAGTGGATGAATAGGGCTTAGCACTTTGGGGGCTTCCTGGGGGTGCTGGGGTAGGCATGTTATCACTCTTTGTGGGGGTTTTCTCTTTGGCTCATCAGTTTCTCAGCAGTGAACCCTCTGATCTCCCGACTGGGAAAAGAAGGCTCACTGTCAAAGTCTTGGGTGACAAGTGAGGAAGGGCTGGTGGTGTCCCACCTTTCACAATGTCAACCTTCTCTCAGTTCACCTGTTTCGAGCACAGTGCACCCCCTCACCCAGCTGTGCCTAGAGTACCAAATGCGGGGGTGCCTCTGGCTCACCATCTCCAGGGAGTAAATCTCCGGCTTCTGCCAGGTGCCTGGCTGTCACTTGGCTGCAGGGAGTGGGGGACGCCTGCTCCTTTTATACACCTTCGATAGTCATTTCAGCCCATCCTCACCTCTCAGCCAGAGAATCCCAGTCCAGAACCTGTCAGGGGCTGCCACACACACTGGATGCCTTTGTCCAGATCTGTGTTCTTTTTGCTGTTTGTTTCCTGACTATTTTCTTTTTTTTTTTTTAAGATTTTATTTATTTGGGGTGCCTGAGTGGCTCAGTCGTTAAGTGTCTGCCTTCGGCTCAGGTCATGATCCCAGGGTCCTGGGATCGAGCCCTGCATCGGGCTCCCTGCTTGGCGGGAAGCCTGCTTCTCCCTCTCCCACTCCCTTGGCTTGTGTTCCCTCTTTCGCTGTGTCTCTCTCTGTCAAATAAATAAATAAAATCTTAAAAGATTTTATTTATTTATTTGACAGAGAGAGAGAGAGCACAAGTAGGCAAAGAGGCAAGCAGTGGGGGAGGGAGAAGCAGGCTCCCAGCAGAGCAAGGAGCCCGATGTGGGGCTCGATCCCAGGACCCTGGGACCATGACCCAAGCCGAAGGCAGACACTTAACGACTTAGCCACCCAGGTGCCCCTGTTTCCTGACTATTTTCAAAACTCATTCATGCCTTTACCTCAGAACGAGAGAGGGTTTGAAAAAGCAAGAGATCCCAGCTCTCTCTCGCTGTAACTCAGTTCCCGTTCATGTTTCTGCTTTCCATCTGCCAAAATGTTGTCAGCATCCCTCACCTGCCGTAGTTCCTGCTCTCTTCTTTGTCTTTTTGTGTTTACCCTTTTTATGCCTTTGCTATCAATGTTGGTGGGTTTCAGAGGGAGCACAGGCTTGGTCTTCTGTGGGTAACTGGGATCCCCCTTTGAGCTTCGCACTCCCTGTTCCTTCTCTCTGGAATGTTCTTCCTATCACTCTTCCCTTTAGTGGCCCATTGCCATCCTTCAGGTCTCAGGGCAGTCTGTTGCCTCCTCAAGGAAGACTTCCTGGAATGCTTCCTTATGTGGAGTAGCTCCCTGCACCCCAGCTCCATTCTCTCTCATCGCCATCATCCTTGGGGTGTCTTTGCCTGAGGGTGTGAGTGAATGGCCCCATGGAAACTATTTCCTTTATTTATTGCTTTTTTTTTTTTTTTTTAGATTTATTTATTTGACAGAGAGAGGGAACACAAGCAGGGGGAGTGGGAGAGGGAGAAGCAGGCTTCCCGCTGAGCAGGGAGCCCGATGTGGGGCTCGATCCCAGGACCCTGGGAACATGACCCGAGCTGAAGGCAGACGCCCCAAGACTGAGCCACCCAGGTGCCCCTCATTTATTGCTTTTATCGCAGTCTTGAATCATCTCACTTACTGACTGATTGGTTTGCTCTGTCCCCCTTCTCCAACAAGTGCACAGCAGACATACAGTCCACATCTGTACAAAAAGTCTTACAGGGAAAAAGGTGTCATTTGTCTGGGCGGCTGTAAGGCTGGTGTTGGGGTCTACTGCCCAGGTGGGGCCACGAGCTGAGCTTGTCACTGCACAAAGGCAGGGCTGGTGGCTGAGGCTCACGGGGTCCAGGAACACAGGGAGCTCAGGGCCATTGGCACCTGACTGAACCCAGCCTCCCCCACCCCTGCTGCAGACAGACCCGGTGCGGCTGACCCAGCTGTATGAGCAGGCCCGGTGGGACCTGCTGCTGGAGGAGACCGACTGCACTGAGGAGGAGATGATGGTGTTCGCAGCCCTGCAGGTGTCCGGTGGGCCGGGGGAGCGGGGGGGGGGTGGTAGGGCGCAGGCTGAGCCCAGGGCAGGGAGGGTCTGCCAAGGTGGGGCCCCATCTTTGGGAAGCCCCACTTGGGTGCTGTGGGCTAGTGGGCCACCCACTTAGCCCTCCCTGGCCACGCACCCCACCCAGTACCACATCAACAAGCTGTCCCAGAGCGGGGAGGTGGGCGAACCAAGTGGCACAGACCGGGGGCTGGACGACCTGGATGCAGCCCTGAACAACCTGGAGGTGAAGCTGGAGGGGTCGGCATCCACGGATGTGCTGGTGAGGAGGGGCTCTGGTCAGGGGTTGGTGTTGGGGTCAGGGTCAAGTGTGGGGATCTGGTCCCCCTCTGACTCCTCTTCTCTGCAGGACAACCTCACCACCATCCCGGAACTCAAGGACCATCTCCGGATCTTCCGGTGAGTTTGGGCCCAGCGTTGGCAGCCCCGCTGGAGGGGCCCAGTGTGGAGAGAGAGCCCAGGAGGGAGGGAGGCAGCCTGTCACAAAACTCCTGCCTCACCCTCAGGCCCCGGAAGCTAACCCTAAAGGGGTACCGCCAGCACTGGGTGGTGTTCAAGGAGACCACCCTGTCCTACTACAAGAGCCAGGATGAGGCCCCGGGGGACCCCATTCAGCAGCTCAACCTCAAGGGTGAGTGAGGGTGGCCTGGCCAGGACAGGGACAAGGGCAGGAGCAGGCTGGGGGCCTACCCGGCCCCCCTGTGGGCTGGGAGGTGAAAGCTCTCACCTCCGTTTCCCCCTGGGGGCAGGAGAAGACACCCTGTGTGCCGAGGCATTGTGCTGGGCTGGCATCGGCCCAGGGACCTCTCGGGCAGGGTCCCCCCTTCCCAGCCTCCTACCCACCCCTTCATCTCCCTCTAGGCTGCGAGGTGGTCCCCGATGTCAATGTCTCAGGCCAGAAGTTCTGCATCAAACTCCTAGTACCCTCCCCTGAGGGCATGAGTGAGATCTACCTGCGGTGCCAGGATGTAAGTCAGGGCCAGGCTGAGGCTGGAGTGGGCAGGGGGACAGGGGGGCCAGGGGCTGAACCAGAGCCTGTTCCTCACCCCCCAGGAGAAGCAGTACGCCCACTGGATGGCCGGCTGCCGACTGGCGTCTAAGGGCCGCACCATGGCGGACAGCAGCTACACCAGCGAAGTGCAGGCCATTCTGGCCTTCCTCAGCCTGCAGCGGACAGGGGGCGGGGGCTCAGGCAACCACCCCCAGGGCCCTGACGCCTCTGCCGAGGGCCTCAACCCCTACGGCCTTGTTGCCCCCCGCTTCCAGCGGAAGTTCAAGGCCAAGCAGGTGCCAGAGGAAGCGGGTGGTGGGTAGGACCACGGCGTTTACCTGGCCACCCTTGGCCCCTGGATCGCCACAGAGCCTTCCTTTAGAAAGCCACGTGCTCACTCATGCCTTCTCCTTCTCCTACCCGTGTCCTTGAGACTGAGCACGCCGGTGCCCACCCTCTGGGAGAGGTCACTGCCGGCTTCCAATTCAGGGCCTGGCTCAGCTCCTACCTGCGGAGTGGTGAGAGGGTGCAGGCCACGGCCCCACACCGGGCCGCACCCCTACTCCAGGCTCAGCATCCTGTCTCCCTGGTGGGGACGGGCAGGGGGACTCAGGGGCTTTGAGGGCCCCTCACCTGGTGTGGTCCCGCAGCTCACCCCCCGGATCCTGGAAGCCCACCAGAACGTGGCCCAGCTTTCACTGTCTGAGGCCCAGCTGCGCTTCATCCAGGCCTGGCAGTCCCTGCCCGACTTCGGCATCTCCTATGTGGTGGTCAGGTACGGCCCCGCCGCAGCCTGCTCTGCCCTGGCCGGCACCCGAAGCCTCCCTTCCCGCCATCCTGCGCCCCTGCAGCAAACACCAGAGTGAGGGATCAGGCCCGCAGGGCGGCGGACCCCTCCCGCTGGAGGCCGCCGTTCGGGGCTGTGCCGGGGGCTGCCCTCTGCCCCTTCCCAAGCCTGCAAAGATAGAGCCAACCAACAGTGACGACGCTACAAAAAAGGTTGTCAGTGAAAGGCATGGACACTTTGCCTGAGGCTGCCAAGTGCTATTGTAATGGTTTTAGCAGTTAACCCTCATTTCCCAGCTGAGGAACTTGAGGCCCGGAGACGCCAGCTGACACGGCAGAGCTTGCCCGGGGACGCGGCCCCAGGCTCTCCGGGTGGGCTCTGGGGCCGTGCAGGGCGGGGCTCTGGCTCACACTCTCTCCCGCCCCGGGGACTAGGTTCAAGGGCAGCAGGAAGGATGAGATCCTGGGCATCGCCAACAACAGACTGATCCGCATCGACTTGGCCGTGGGCGACGTGGTCAAGACCTGGCGCTTCAACAACATGCGCCAGTGGAATGTCAACTGGGACATCCAGCAGGTGGGCCAAGGGTAAGGGCCGGGGCGGGGGCAGGCTCCAGGGACCCCGGCCAGGCCCAGCCAGGGCAGGACGGGGGCTGCTCTCCTCCCCCTCCCCGACCAGCCCCTCTGACTGCCCGCTCTGCAGGTGGCCATCGAGTTTGATGAGCACATCAACGTGGCCTTCAGCTGCGTGTCGGCCAGCTGCCGCATCGTGCACGAGTACATCGGGGGCTACATTTTCCTGTCGACGCGGGAGCGGGCCCGCGGAGAAGAGCTGGATGAGGATCTCTTCCTGCAGCTCACAGGAGGCCATGAGGCCTTCTGAGGCCTGTCTTAGCGCCCCCACTTTGCTCACTACCTGCTATGGTCACGCCTAAGCCCACACCCCCTCCAGACATGCACCGAGCTGGGCACATTCACCTGCTGTCCCTGGTTTTGTGCAGACCAGGGACCTAACCGGGCCAGACTCTGCCATCTCCCAGGCTAGGGAGGGTGGGTTACGAGCTCGTACAATGCCCGCCCTTCCCTTGTCCGAGTGGCCAGGACCAACACCACTGACCCAGCTAGAGTTCCTGAGCACATGAGGACAACTGGCTGTAGCTACGGGATGATGATAATTCATGGTTTCAAACTGGAGCTTCTTTTTTATGTTTTTACATTTTTAAAAATAAATATTTTATTGTTGGATCATCCTTCTTCCTCTGGAGCTGTACTTGGGGTCACTCTGACACTCCGCCTCCTCTTCATTACCAGCCAAGGAGAGGGACTTTCCTAAGATAGAGACAAGAGGTTAGGGAAAGGGAGACAGAAGTCAGCCTGGGGCTAGGAGCCGGGAGGGAGGAGAGGGTGGAGGGCACAGGCTCCAGGCACCGTGAACAGGAGGAGGGTGGTGGTTCTCACGGGTAGGGCGTAGCTGCAGGGCCTCCTTGAAGTACTTGGGAAGCAGGAAGCCATCAGCATTCCCTGGAGTCAGGATCACTCCATTGGCAGAGCGGAAGAAGGGGATTCCATCTGCAGACAAAGCCAGATTTGGGACTCCTGCCCTCTCTGAAGCCCTAGGGCAGTCCCCGCTGTGTCCAGGCTCACCTGCCAGGGCTCGGGGCCCGTCAATGAACACAGCCACTTCGCAATTTGGCCGCATGCCTGTGGAGACAATTGGAGCTGGGGCCTGGGGCACTTGGGAGCTGGTCATCAAACCTGGACAGGCTCAGCAGGAGGTCCTGGGCTCAGGGGCGGGGATGGGGTTACTGTAGCATGCAGAGCATGGGGTGGCCTTGGACAAGAGAAGGTATGATCCTTGGAGAGGGACCTGGTAAGGACAGCTGGGGAGGGCCACTGACCACTGACGACACCAGGGTCCCCAGGCAGTCCCGGGGCCAGGTGGATATGGGTCCTTCCCCGGCAGGACAGACCCTTGAGCTGGATGGATGGCCAGTGCTGCCAGAATGTGCCATGGACAAGCCTTAGGGGCAAGGCCTGTGGGGTCTCCAGGGGCATCAGCTCCAACTCAGGTACCTGGGGTGGCGGGGGGAATGGACGGCAGTGAGACGCCCCTCACGGGCAGGGGTCCCACCTGGCTCTCCCACTGGTCCCCTTAGCGCCCACCTGCAGGGAGTGACCCTGATTGGCCCGGATGAGAAGGCCAGTGCCGGGCTCCCCTGGCTGCAGGGCAAACCGCTGCTTCCTGTTGGTGTCCACCACGCGCTGCACATCTTCAGCCGAGAAGCTGTGGAACTGGGGCAGCTCCAGGAGGGCACACAGGGGCACGAAGCCATCTGCGGACAGGCAGGATGCTCAGGAGCTGAACCGGTTCTGGCCTGGGCCAGAGGTAACAGTGGGAGCCACAGGCAACCAGAACAGAGCCTGGGTGCGTGGCGGGGGTCACAGGCGTTTATCTGTAAGAGTCTCCCTTTTCTGAGCCTCCGTTTCCTCAACTTATATGGGACTAGGATCTGCCTCAGGGAGGGTCACAAAGATAAAGTGTCCCTTTTTTAGCATAGTACCCTGCCCAGAATGGATACTCAGTAAACCGCAGTTACCCCAACAGCCCCCAGTACCCACTCTGGGTAAGTGTCTATTGGGCCACTGCACCGGGGATATGGCCAGGCCTGGCCTCCCAGTTTGCTCTAGACAGGATACTGGGCTCTGGGCCTTGGTGCTCCCTGCACATGGAGGAGATGGGCCCTCCGTGCCATCCCCATGGGGCCATGGGGTAGGGCAGCACAGACAGGCTCACACTGCTCCCTCGCCGCCAACCACTCACCTCAGTCTTCAAGATTCTCACTTACCAGCCCTCATGGGAAGCCCCAGCTTCAAGGCCCCGTGCCGCAGGGCATAGGACAGAGCCTTGGACAGCTGCACATCTCGGTCCTGTAAGAGCCCAGAGGTGGTCCCGGGTCCACTCCCACCCCGCCAGCATATTCCAGGGAGCCAGGGCATCAAGTCCTCTTCCTCTACCCTCCCACCAAGAAAGTGGGGGTGAGGGTGGGGGGGCGCACCTGTTCCCGGGGTCTGTGAGCCCTTCTACCCCTGGGTCCTGTGGTTTCCTGCCTCCTTCCTCCAGGGGAGTTCATGGGTAAGACCTGCGAGGAACAGTGATATGTGGGGACGGTTAAGGACCCTCTCATGCCCCCGTCCTGCCCAGCATGTCACAAAGCCTCAGGATGTGAGAGCTGGGAGGCGGATATCCTGCTCATTAAATTCACTTCCCGCCCCCAACTCCCTGATACAGATAGGGAAACTGAGGCCAGTAGGCAAGATTTGCCCAAGGTCACACCGTGTCCGCCACGGATCCCAGGGAAGCCGAGCCCCGGCGCTCCAGGCTCGCGGGGCTGCCCCGCAAAGTGGGCCTCAGGAGGCGGCCCGGGCGTTCAGGCGAACGGGGCGGAAGCGTCAGGACCCGCCAAGACAGACAGAGTTAGGAGGCGGGAACCTGGGACGGCGGGCTCCCCGACTCGGCGGCATGGGAGCCGCCCCGCGGGCCGAGGCGCAGGGACCGGCCAATGAGAAGCCGGGGAAGAAGGGGACGGGCACTTCCGCTGAGGGAAAAGGGGCGGAGCCTGCGGGCCGCGCAGTCGGGTGAGTGGCGTCTGGAGGCTTGAGCTTCCGGATCCTGCAAGGGGCCCCGGCGCCCCAGGGGTGGGTGGCAGGACCCTGGTTTGGGAGAAATGGGCATAAAGGGGGTGACTGGACTCAGGACCCCCGGGTGGTAGAGATGCGCGGGAGTCCCAGGGATGTGTGGCAGCCGGACTCTCGGGGCTCTTGCTGGGCTAAGACACTCTATTGCCCAGGGAGTGGTCATGGGGGTAGAGAAGGGCTGGGGGTACGCTAAGGAGGTCTGTGGCAGAGGGGGCCAGCTGCTGGGCCCAAGGGTCGCTGTGGGGCTCTCGGGGTGACAGGCCTGGCTGTGTCCTCCCCCAGAGCTGCCCTGTCCAGATCATGGACCCTGAAGTGTCCTTGCTGCTGCAGTGCCCCCCAGGTGGGCTTCGGGAGGAGCAGGTGCGGGCTGAGCTGAGCCCAGACCACGACCGTCGCCCACTGCCAGGAGGGGACGAGGCCATCGCTGCCATCTGGGAGAGCCGGCTACGGGCTCAGCCCTGGCTCTTTGACGCCCCCAAGTTCCGCCTGCACTCAGCCATCTTGGCACCCACTGGCTCACAGGGCCCACAACTGCTCCTGCGCCTGGGCCTGACTTCCTACCGAGACTTCCTGGGCACTAACTGGGCCAGCTCGGCTTCCTGGCTGCAACAGCAGGGGGCCGCTGACTGGGGTGACAAGCAAGCCTACCTGGCAGACCCACTGGGGGTTGGCGCCACACTGACCACTGCAGATAACTTCCTTGTCTTCCTGCGTCGCTCTCGGCAGGTGGCCGAGGCACCTGGGCTGGTGGATGTGCCTGGTGGGCACCCTGAGCCTCAGGTGAGATGCCAGGCTGGGTGCAAAGGCACAAAGACTCAGCTCAGCTTTGTTTTCCACATCCCTTAAGGGGGGGGATGGGTGGTGACCTGGTGCTTCTCTGAAAGACTGCCCAGGGCAGCACCTCAGCCTCCCCATTGACCCCTGTTTCCGACCTGTGCGAAGCCAGGGGATGATGGGGGGTGGGGGGGTGGGGAAGAGAGGACTGGCTGGATCTCTGGTTGTCCATCTGGAAATGGCGGGCCTGGGTCAGGGGATCACCAAGACTCTTACTCTATGCCTAACCAGGCCCTCAGGGCCAGCAAATAATTGGGGGGGAGGCAGGGTGGGAAGAAATGGGGAACAGGGGCTGAGCCTGACCTCTCCCAGGCCGTGTGCCCTGGTGACAGTCCCCTGCACAAGGACCTCCCTGGGGAGCTGGTGGTGCATGAACTCTTCTCCAGTGTCCTCCAGGAGATCTGTGATGAGGTGAGTGCAGGGTGCCCCAGACAGGTGGGCAAGAAGGGAGGGGGTAGAACATGCCAGAATTCCCCAGGTGTGGGCTGGCAGGAGAGTCTGCAGGCATCTGGCACTGGGAGAAGAGCTTGGCTTTGCAGTCAGGCCCAAGTGGAATGGAATTCTAGCCCTCGTATCTGTGTGCCTCAAGCTCTTCCTCTTTAAAATAGGAACAATAGGGGCACTTGGGTGGCTCAGTTGGTTAAGCATCTGCCTTGGGCTCAAGTCATGATCTTAGGGTCCTGGGATCAAGCCCCGTGTTGGGCTCCCTGCTTATCAGGGAGTCTGCTTCTCCCTCTGGCCCTCCCCCACACTTGTGCTCTCTCTCTCTCTCAAATAAATAAAACCTTAAAAAATTTTTTTAGGGTGCCTGGGTGGCTCAGATGGTTAAGCGTCTGCCTTCGGCTCAGGTCATGGTCCCGGGGTCCTGGAATCGAGTCCCGCATCGGGCTCCCTGCTCCTTGGGAGCCTGCTTCTCCCTCTGCCTCTGCGTCTCTCTCTCTCTCTCTGACTTTCATGAATAAATAAATAAAACATTTAAAAAAAAATTAAAAAAAAAAATTTTTTTTAAAACTAAAAAAAAAAAAGAGGAACGATGATAAATGTCTTGCCTACTCCCCTCCCGTCCCCCGTGTGTTGAAAAGAGGAGTAAATGAGAGTCCCAGTTACTACAGACTTCCCTTGGATGATCCTGGGCAAATTGTTCGGTCTCTTGGGTTCTGCTTTCCCATCTGTAATATGAACATGCCTAAGATCTGACATTTTGTGACTCTGGGCACTTGAACTACGAACAGTAAAATGCTGTACAAGGATAATGTTCTTCACTGAGAGGGGCAGGCATGTGGGCAGTGGGCACTGACAGGTGGACCTCCTGTCCCAGGTGAACGTGCCACTGTGCGCCCTGAGCCAGCCACTGCTATTGGGCATCGCCTGCAATGAGGCCAGTGCCGGCCGCGCCAGTGCCGAGTTCTACGTCCAGTGAGTGAGCTCTGGGGTACAGGGTCCTGGGTCCTGGGATAGGTGGGTGGTTGAGGGGAATGGCTGAGGCAGCTGGGGTTCCCCAAAGATCCTCCAGGGACTGAGCGCTCACCAAGCCACTGTCCTGTCCTTTTGCAGGTGCAGCCTGACTTCCGAGCAGGTGAAGAAGTCCTACTTGAGTGGGGGAGCCGAGGCCCACGAGTCTACCAGAATCATCTTCGTGGAGACACAGGTGTGAAGTGGCAAAGTGTGTCTTGCTTGGACAAGGAGCTGGTGTTGGGCTTTGCATAGGCCAGGTGATGCATGTCTGTCTCCCTGGGGTTGGGTCAGATGGGGCTGCTAAATCTCTTAGAGCTCTCCTCCGGAGCCACAAGGCCTCTTTGGGGATGCCCTCGGTCCAAGAGACGGCCAGGAACCTCTTCAGCCTCCTTATCGTGTCTCCCTAGGGACGGTGAAGTGCAGAGGGTTCTGAGGCTCAGGAACACTGGGTACAGCTCCCTCAAGAGACCTGAGGGCTGGATGTTGGGGGTCTTACTTTCTCCCCACAGAGGGTATGGAGGTTGCAGGAGACCGAAATGTGGGCTGAGCTCTGCCCCTCGGCTAAAGGCGCTATCTTCCTCTACAACCAAGTCCAGGGAAGTCCCACCTGAGTCGCCCTAGGGCCCTCAACCCTTGCACAACTTGGAAGACAATAAAGGACTTTATTCTTGGATTCCATTGGCATCTGCTGTTTCCGTGAGACAGAGATGGACCGCTGGGAGAGACCTGGGTGGGTGAGAGACAGGAGGAGTGTCTTGGGAAACAACAACAACAAAAACCCAGCCTCAGTTTTCCCCTCTGCAAACTGGGATGAGGACCGAGGCCCCCTTAGCAGGATGTGGTGAGGGTTCGGGCCTCCTACGGGGTGGAAGCTGCTTTATGAAAGATGTCTCGCTGCAGAGTAACAGCCGTGTTCCCGGGACAGAGCGACGGAAGCTGGGTCAAAAGCCTCAGTGAGGGCAGGCAACGTCCCTCCCGCTTTGCGGACGGGCGCCAGGAGTCTTTCCGCAGATCCGCGGGCCTCGACCTCGTTGGATGGGCCTGAGGCGCCAAAAGCCAATGGGTGTGCGGGGTGTGGCCTTCGGCGCACTTCCGGACCCGCCGGTTCGGTGGGCGTGGCCTGGGCGTCTAAGCCAATGAGGACGTGGGGGCGGGCCTGCATAGGCGCAGGCGTTTGGCGGCCGCGGAATCCGTGAGCGCAGCGGAGGCGGGGCTTGGCGAGCCCCTCCTTCACCCGCCCCCTACCCCTCCAAGCTCCCGGGTTGGGTAGGGGGTCCCGGCGTCCCGGCGTCCGGGACTTCTTGTCCCCGGACACCGAGAGCAGTGTGGGGAAGGGCTCCGGACGCCCTGGTCAGAGGCAGGGACAGGTCCAGGACACTGGGGTCTGGTCCTGAGTAAAGGAGGCCCCACCGCCCCTGGCTTCCCCAAGGCTGCTTCAGTTTCCCTTCGCAAGTAAACAGCGCCAGACCCTTCCCTTTGGCCCCGGAGTGCTTGAAGTGTGGTCCCCTCCTGGTCCCAATGCACAACTCTTTGTGGCCTCCTTTCACCAGCCGCCTGCCTGTCGCCATGCTGTCCCTGTGCCTCTGCGGGTTGTGGCGCCGCAGCCCTCCCATCCGGCTCTTCTCAGCGGCCACCGGGCAGCGGTGAGTCGGGGGCCGGGGGCAGGCCCCCATCATTCAGTGGGTTTTGTTGAGGAGGGCCTGCCCGGCTCCAGGCCTGGACCTAGGTGCCATAGTTGTGATCTGTCTACTCTGTGTCAAGTGCCTTACAGGCTTGTTTCAGGTAACTCTCACCTTCACGACTGAGGACACAAGATCAAAGATTAAGGGACGACCCCCAAGATCATACAGCGAGTTCAGTGGCAAAAGTGGAATTTGAGTCCGAGCCAAACTCTGCTCTTTTCGCGACTGTGGTGGTCGTCAAGCATCACTGAGCAACTCACTGGGTGGGTGGGGCTGGGGGTGGCTTACAAAAACGCAGATTCCTGGGCCCTGTTCTGGAGATTCCGATCTGTAGGAATGAACTGGGGCTCAGGAATCTGTTTTTTTTTAAACAAGCTTCCTGGGTGTTTCTGCCACAAGGGGTCTGAGGGCTACACATTGAGATGTTCTGATCTGCACCATACCTGAAATGCTCAAAAAGGGAGGGATGATTTGGAGATGGATCTCCCTTGGCACCAGCCTCAGCTTCCTCACCTCCTGGTTTCTTTTTCTTTCTTTTTTTCTTTCTTTCTCTTTCTTCCTTCCTCCCTCCCTCCCTTCCTTCCTTTCTCCTTTCCCTTTCTTTCTTTCTTTCCTTTCCCTCCTGGTTTCTGAGTTGAGGAATGTGGTCCAGGGGCTCTGGGAGGGGGAAGGGAGGAATATCCTCTGTGTTTCCGTAGCCCCTGCAGTTTCTGGCCTCTCTCCACAGGTCTGGCCCCAGGAACTACTATGAACTGTTAGGGGTGCATCCTGGTGCCAGCACTGAAGAAGTTAAACGAGCTTTCTTCTCCAAGTCCAAAGAGGTACCAGGTATCCTAGGTGGGGAGGGGGGGTCCGTCTGATTCAGATAGGGTACATTTCAGATTCCCAGGAGTGGAGTTGAGTGGCTCACTGTGGATGCCACATTCCCTCAGCATGTATAGAGAGTGGGAGGTGCCCCGAGGGCAGAGGTCTGGCCAGTTGGGAGGAAAGGTTGGGGGCAGGAGCCAGGGGTTCTGTGTGACGGGCTGCACGTTGTTCTTTTGACCTGCCTGCTCTTGAGAAGGCCTGGACCAGGGCATATAGTGAGAGCCAGGCAGCAGGTGGGGAGGGCTTGAACAAGGGGAGGGGGCAGGAGTCTGTGCTTCCTGACTCTCTGGCCTTCTAGAGGGGTGGGCACCCTGAGAGGGATGGTACTGTCCAGGCAGGGCCTCCGGGAATGACTTGAGCCTTTGTGGGTGGATGTCGTTGGGATGGGTTCTGTGAAGGGACATGCAAAAAGAGCTGAAGGGAGTCCTGCCCCACCCCAGCTGCACCCTGACCGGGACCCTGGGAATCCGGCCCTGCACAGCCGCTTTGTGGAGCTGAGCGAAGCATACCGAGTGCTCAGCCGAGAGCACAGCCGCCGCAACTATGATCTCGGGCTCTGCTCAGCACCTCCTCCGACGTCTGCAGGAACCGCAGCCTATGCCCGGTCTGCTCACCAGGCACACAGGTGGAGCCATCCTGCCCCTGGCATGCCCCGCGCCCCGAGTCTCCTGGGGAGCCTCATCCCCGCTCTTCCTTTCTCCTCCCTCCCAGCGGCTCCTGGGAGCCCCCCAGTGCACAGTACTGGGCCCAGTTTCATGGTGTGAGGCCTCAGGGACGAGAGTCGAGGCAGCAGCGGCAGCAGCACAACCAGCGGGTCCTGGGGTGCTGCCTCCTGGTCATGCTGGCGGGCATGGGCCTGCACTACGTGGCCTTCAGGTGCCTCCCTGCCTTCCCTGCCGGGGTGATGGGCGGAGGGGGGGAAGCCCGGTGTGGTCAGCTTACATCCACACCACCTCTGGGGCCTGTACTTCTGTGTCTCTCCAGCTAAGAATGGCATGAAATTGGCCTCCTGAGCATCATCTTACTTGGCCAAGGCAGCTCTGCACTCACTAAAGGCTAAGGTCATTTTCAGGTTTTTTGGCATTTGAATGTAAATCTCTGGTGCTGGATGGAGCCAACCAAGAGCATGCACAAGAAGGAAATATGTTGTAACTGGGCCTCACCAGCAACCATCCTCACTTGTTGGGCAACCAGCTGTCTCCCTGCCACCCTTTTATGCATGCCATGGATACTGAGGTTGTACGACAAAGATACCTAAGGGCTGGTGCCCACAGCTAGCAGCCTGCCTAGCTCAGCGATGGAGTTAGATCTATACCCTTTCTAGTCTCCTGCGAGGACGAACACCCTGATGTTCAGAACCGCTGTCACCACCTTCGACAGGGCAGCCAGGGACCTGGGTCACCAGTGGACCCTGGATAAGCCCCCTGGCCCTTCTGGGCCCCTCTCCCCACGTAGGACAGGCAGTTAGGCAGAGGTCCTCACAGATGTAAAGCTGTGAGACCCTAGAGTGGCATGGATGGCATGGGTTGGATTTGGGGGACCGCAGGGATCGGAGTTAATTGCAACCCCCTTGCAGGAAGCTGGAGCAGATGCACCGCAGCTTCATGGATGAAAAGGATCGGATCATCACAGCCATCTACAATGACACACGGGCCCGGGCCAGGTCTGTCCCTGCTCCGTCCTGCCCTCCCTTCAGTGTCCTGGCACCACCCTCCGGGATCCTCCGTCCTGACCACCCAGGTGCTCTCTCCTGCAGGGCCAACAGAGCCAGGCTCCAGGAGAAACTGCAGAGGCAGCAGCTGCAGCCACCCCCAGGAGGCCCGGGGGTCGCGCCGCCGCCGGACACAAGCACCCGCCCCTGAGCGGCTCACTTGGATGGGGGCTACCCCGCGGGACTTCCCACTCCCCAGAACGCGTGCAATAAAGTGCTTTTCAGAGCTCGTGTCCGGCTCCTTGCTTCAGGCCCAGCGGCCCCCTCCCGGGCCTCGCCGGGAGACGGCACCCCGCCCTCCGGGTCCTGGCGGCGGCGACCCGGGAGCCCGGCCCCCTGGGCGGCGCGTCCCCTTTCCCCTGCTGCGGCGGGAGGGTGTGGGGGGGGGGTGGAGGGGGCGGGCCCCGGCGGCGGCCTCGCCCCCCCTTCCCCCGCCCCTCCCCCGCCCCGCGGCCCGGTGGGGAGCGCGTGTCTGGGTCACATGAGCCGCCCGCCCGCCAGCCCGGGCCCGGCCCCCCGCCGCCCCCGCCGCCCCCGCCGTCCCCGCCGCCGCCGCCCGCCGCCACCGGCCGCCCGCCCGCCCGGCTCCTCCGGCCGCCGCTGCTGCGCTGCGCTGCGCTGCCTGCGCTCAGGGCTCGGGAGGGGGCCGCGGAGGAGCCGCCCCCCGCGCCCGGCCCCCGCCCGCCGCGCCCGGGCCCGCGCCATGGGGCTCTGGCTGCCGCCGCCCCCCGCGCCACCGGGCTAGGGCGATGCAGGCGCCCCCGGCGCGCGGCCCCCGCGGGCACCATGAGCCCCCTGCTCCGCCGCCTGCTGCTCGCCGCGCTCCTGCAGCTGGCCCCCGCCCAGGTACGTGCGTCCCCGACATCCCGCCCGCCGTGCCCTCTCTCAAGGTTGGCGGAAGTGGGGAGTCGCGGAGCGGCCTCTGCCTCGGGGATCCGCGGGGTCGGGCTGCGGACCGGGGCGTGGCGGGGATCCGGCCAGGGCATCCCCCGGGAGGAGTCCCTCCGCGTCTGCCCGCCAGCCCGCCAGCCCGCCAGCCCAGCCCCGGGCCACTCCCCTGCCCCACCCCGTCCCCTGGGTTTGGCCGGGGGCGGAGCCGCTTGGTGCCCGCAGGACTTGGTTCGGCGCCCACCGTGTCCCCTCCTGACCTGCGGCGTCCGAATCAGCCGGGCCCCCAGGCTTAGAGATTGGACGCCACCAACGCCGCCACTCTCGTGGCTGGGGCAGGTCTCCCGTGGCCAGGAGAGGACAGGTAAAGCTAGAGTGACCCCAGGAGCAGAGCAATCTGGAAAAATGTCATAGAGGAGTTGAAGCCTTTTGACGGCCAGGGCAGAGACCCAGGGACAGCGACAGGTCGAGCCCTTCCTTGAATGCACCTTGGGTCCAGGTCCCTTCTCTCCTACAGGGCCCCGTGTCCCAGCCTGATGCCCTCGGCCACCAGAAGAAAGGTAATAGTAACAATAACTGCGCTAACCAACACTGAGGAGGTTTGCCCGTCACCTTGTGTAATCCCAGCCACTCTCCAAGACTCGAACTCTTATTCTGCCCATTTCGCAGAAGAGGAAATCGAGGCAGTGGGGTTCCTGGGTTCCTGGGCAGGGGAAGGCAGGTTGTGAGGGCAGAGAGACGGCTAGTGGAGGGTGGCTGCGACACAGGAATTAGGGAGAACAGCGGTGGGGGGACAGGGGACAGGGGAACCAGGGAGGAGCTGCAGGAAACCCAGGGGGGACTTAACCCTTGTGCATCTGCCCCCAGTGGTGTCATGGATAGATGTCTATACCCGTGCCACCTGCCAGCCCCGGGAGGTGGTGGTGCCCCTGACTGTGGAGCTCATGGGCACCGTGGCCAAGCAACTGGTACCCAGCTGCGTGACGGTGCAGCGCTGCGGGGGCTGCTGCCCTGACGACGGCCTGGAGTGCGTGCCCACCGGGCAGCACCAAGTCCGAATGCAGGTGCCGGGGCAGGTGGGGTGTGCCCAGCTGGCGTGGATGCTGGGGCTCTGGGGGCGGTGGGACTGGGGGCGTGGGGGCAGTGGCCAGAGCCTTGGCTGGTGGGCGAGCGGTTCTCCCTCCAGCCCATGGAGATTCTCCGCCCCCACCCCCATCCCCACCCCCCCGCCTCTCCCTCTCTCTCTCTCTCATTGTCTCTCCTCCATCTCTGGAATACAGATCCTCATGATCCGTTACCCGAGCAGTCAGCTGGGCGAGATGTCCCTGGAAGAACACAGCCAGTGTGAATGCAGGTGCCAGCCAGACCCCCGCTTCTGAGCTCACAGAGACCAGGCTCCAGCGGGGGCGGGGGGCCAGGGGGCGGCGCCGGGCATGGTGGCACACCACAGTGGGGACAAGATTGCCAAGACTCGCACTGGGGTAGGCCTGGGATCTGGGGTAAGACAGTAGGAGGTTTGGCTTTTCTGATCCTCTTCCTCCTCCTTGTGTCTGTCTGTCTCTCTTACTTTTCAGACCAAAAAAGAGAGAGGGTGCTCTGAAGCCGGACAGGTGAGTCTCTTGGGCTCTTGCTGAAATGGGGTTGGAGCCCAGGCCCAGCAGCCAGGATGTAACGTGTGGATGGGGCGGAGGGGGTGGGGGTGTGAGTGTGTCAGGAAGCTGCAGTCCCGTCCCCTCTTTCTCCTCCCACTGTGTCCCCCTGTCCCCTTTTCCTCTGCTCCCCGAGTCTGTGCGCTCTGGCCCAACCCCAGCTCCTGGGAAGACTTTCCTTTCCCGCCCCAGACATGTTGCTTCTCCTCCTAGGGCTTCCACTCCCCACCACCGCCCCCAGCCCCGCTCCGTTCCGGGCTGGGACCCTGCCCCCGGAGCACCCTCCCCAGCTGACATCACCCATCCCACTCCAGCCCCAGGCCCCTCTGCCCACGCTGCACCCAGCGCCGCCAGCGCCCTGACCCCAGGACCTGTCGCTGTCGCTGCCGACGCCGCAGCTTCCTCCGTTGCCAAGGGCGGGGCCTAGAGCTCAACCCAGACACCTGCCGGTGAGGAGCTGCGGGCGGGCGGCATCTGTTTGGGAAGGCCTCGGGGCTCCGGGAGCGGGTCCGGGGTGAGCCTGTCAGGGAAGGGGAAGCTGCCGAATGTGCCGAACAAATATTTACCAGGCAGCCACCAGGATCAGTGTAAACAGAGTTCACATTCTCATGTGAGAGTCGGGCTTGAGGACACATGATGCCCGCAGAGGAGGTCAAGGGCTGAGGTCAGGGGCACCCAACATGGGTCCCTGAGAGGTCACAGAGGCCCCAAAGGTAACATCTGCCTGCAGTCAAGATGAGAGAGACGGCTCTCCAGTTTGTGAAGCTCTGGGCCTTCCTAAAGGCTCCTGTGGGAGACATCTGTCCCACCTTGGGGGCTCTGTGAGAGGCCAAGGGACACCATGGAATCCTTGTCCACCCTTGTCCAAGGTGCTTCTCACCCCTCCTCCCTTCCACAGCGAGGCCATGGGGTGGCATCACGTGGGCCAGGAGTGGTAGGAGAGAATGGGGTTCACAGAAGGTAACAAAGGGGTGAATCTAGAGGAGCACGGGCTGAGCCGTGCCCACATGACCAGACCCCTTCCTTCCTTCCTCAGGTGCCGGAAGCTGCGAAGGTGACACGTTGCTTTTCAGACTCAGTAGGGCCACTTGCCTCACAGGCCGCGCCCCCCCCACCCCCACCCCAGAGCGGGACATGTTGAGAAGAGCCCAGTCCCAAGATCTCCGCCTGGGCAGAAGCTGCTCCAGGACCTGGGCCTCTCAGAGGACTTCCCAGCTGTCTCGGGTCTCTCCAAGGCTGCCACCCAACAGGGTGGGCAGCTGGACGAGGAGATGTTAGGCAGCACCAGGGGTCGCGGACTAACCCGGGAGAGAAGGGGTCCCATCTCCGTTTTCACCCACCATGTACAAGTGAGCGTCTTACAGCTGGCTTCTCTGTCGCCTCCCTAAGAAGACACCGATCCTCCACACATACTGGGAGTTGGGCTTCGGTGTGAGAACTGTGAACCCCCGACCCTGATAAAAGAGATGGAAGGAGCTGTCCCTGCCTGTGTCACTGTTTGTCACTGTCCTGGCTGGGGGATTCAGGCATTCTGCGTCACAGTGCCTCCTCGAGCCAGAGCTGGTCTTACTCCTTCATTGTATCTGTGGAGGAAACAAGGCCCGAGGTCCCCTACCACGTCACAGACAGAGCCGGAACTGTGTCTTCTTAATAGTCCTGTTGTCACATCCAGGCCCTGTCCCCCCTGCTCATCACAAAGGCTCCTTTCTGGAAGGAGATGGCCTGCTGTGGCCAGTGAGCTTGAGGTGGGACCCAGATCTGCTGAATGATCTTGGTTGTCACTGCCCCCTCTCTGAGCCTCAGCTTCCACATGTGTACACAGAGGGAATGGATGAGCGCTATGGCCCCGGCCCTTAGGCTCCAGGAAAGTCACTATGTCTTCACTTGATAGAAAAACCCATCTTCTGTGGCGGGCAGCACTCTATATGTAAGCTACTTCCTCTAGCTTAACTCTGAAGGCACACCCCTGCCCTGTCCCCGCCTCCGCGTAAGGGAAGTACCCAAGGCTTGGTTTGGGAGATAGGTCCCCTCACCCCCAAGCACACAGTTTTCTCCACCTTCACCTCCCTTCACCTTGGGCTCCCCTCACCAGCCCATGCTTGAGACTCTTCTGACTTTTGTCTGACCCAGCCTAAGCTCTGCGCCCAGCCTTCTGCCTGCAGCCTCCAGTGGGGAGTGAGGGGCAGACCAAAGGCCAACCCTGGGGACCCAATGCTTACCTTGCTGAGACAGGACATTCAGGGGCAGAGGTTAACCCAAAGTGGCTACCCTAATGGAGGCCTCTGAGGTGGGAGATTGGAGGGCATGGTAGTGATCTTGTTGGGCCCAAGGCAGGAGTGGGGTTAAACCAGAAGAGACAATTCCTGTGATTACTGATTTCAAATCATTTTTCTCAGCTATGCTGTCACTGAAAATGCCATAGCTCAACTGAAGTGAGACAGATGAGGGCTGGGGACCCTAGAGCTGCCCCCTCCCCAGCCCACTCAGTGCTAGATACGCACAGTGCTTTATATGCACCCCCTCTCTTAGTCCTCGATGCTAAGGTCAGCACTGGTGATTATCTTCCTTTTCCAATTGAGGAAACAGGCTCAGAAAGGCTGATGGATCTGGGGATGTGACCCCCAGTTGGCCGTCTGTAACACTCAGTTTAGGTTTCGTGGCCTCCCAACTACAAGTTCATTACTTCAGC